GCAGATATTTTTACATCATCTGATTTGAAAGAACTTTCACAGTCAGATGTCAGTTTTGTTGGATGGTATTTGTCAACGAATATTGTCAAAGCAGTTTTCACATCTAAAATATTTTTGGACTGTAATGGTATGGCTTCACAGTATCTTGTGTTTTGACCAACAAATATTAGCCAGTATGGTGGTCCATCTTCTCTATACCTCGGAATGTTTTCCAAGATATCCATAAACCAAGCATTTGGTGTTGAACTAAAGATTTTTACCATGAGTGCTTTCTTTGTTGCCTTAGAAACATAGGGGTCCTTGTTTGAATTCGTCATTTTTAACCCATAAGAAATGGGTTTATTTGGCGCATTAGCAGGAGTTGCATCCAGATTTTTACCCGCAGTGGGAACAATAGCCAGAGGTGTATTTGGAGTTGGAAGGAAGATTTTGAGTACATTAGGTATACTTAAAGAGAAAGCACAACCTATTATACAAACTGTACAGAAAGGTTGGGATGTAGCACGAGATGCAGCAAATCTTATTCCAAATCCTGAAACAAGAGGAAAAGTTCAAGGATGGATGGACAATGTAGGAAGACAAGCAGGAAACTACTATAACAAAGCAAATGACTACTATAACCAAGCAGGGCACTACATGGACCAAGGTGAAAGATTCTTTAACAGAGGATATAACCATGCACAACAATGGGTAAACAACAACCAACCTCAACCGCTTCAAACTTGGGGAATGTAAAATTTTTTTACTGAGATGAAATGAACAATACAGCATTGAGACAAATGGGCTCAAGATGGATTTGTCGGCTTCCAGCAGTTACACAACCACGTGTGTTTGTCAAGTTCTTCCTATACCTCAAGAAGTTTTAGACCGACTTAAAAACCTAAACAACCAGTTTGAAAACAAACCAAACTAAAATTTTTTACTGAGATGAAATGACCGAAGAAGTTGAAACGGTAGATTTGACACCACAAACAAAAAGTTCAGAACCATTGTCAAAACCTGTCAAAGAACTTACAGATGAAGAGAAAATTCAATAATAGAAGGTGCAAGGTCTGGAATACAAACCCTAACTATAAAGTCACTTTTCATAGAAATGGAACGGCTAGTATCTCAAAAAAGAAACAGACTCTCACAAATAAAATATTGAAGTCTGAAGGAGCTTTCGAGACAACAGATGGAAAAGTTTACTTCACTGACCAACAGTTCATTATAGAACATCTCATTGACTTAGAGTCGAAATATTCTAAACTTTACAACAAACACAAAAAGTTGAAAGGAAAACAAAAACAAATGGCATATGATATTTATGAAGATGTTGACGACACAACCATACCTGCAGGTGGGGTAAAGTCAGAGGAACCGAAAAGTGACGAAAAACCGATAGAAGAAGAAAAACCAAAAACTGAAGATAAACCAAAACCAAAGTTTAGTATTGGAACTAAACCAAGTCAACCTTCATTAGCTGGTATGGGTTGGCGTCAAAGACTTATGGCAGCAGGCGGTTATGTAAAGTAAAGAAAAAAATATTTTTTTATTTTTATTTGAAATGTACGCTGAGTTTGTTGGAACAGACTGTTGGGAAACTTGTTTGTTAGATGAGAAGTAAAACATTGCATGAAATAAAACATTTTTTAAAAAAATATTTTTTTATTTTATTTGAAATGTACGCTGAGTCTGTCGGAAAAGACTGTTGGAAAACTTGTTTGTTAGATGAGAAATATGAAATTCACTGTTGTGAGTCATTTGAAGTCAGAAACAAAAAGACAAAAAGAGTTTTAAGCGAATGGGAGCGAAATAACGGATATGCTGTTATGAAGATGGGTGGAAAACACTATCTTAAACATGTTGTCATTGCAACTCATTTTATACCGAACCCTAACAATCTACCTTTTGTAGACCATATAAACCGTATAAGAAACGACAATAGACTTGAAAACTTACGTTGGGTCACTCGTTCTGAAAACAATAAGAACAAAAGCAAATTTCGAGATATTGTATTCGAATTTGTCGACGAACTAGAAGATGAAACAATTGAAATTACAGACTATGGCAAGCATACGTTTGAGTTTTACTACTATAGCGAAGAACAAGACTCTTTCTACTTTTATACCGGCGTAAACTATAGGAAATTACAAGTATGTTTTACTAAGGCGGGCTATGCTTATGTAAACGCTAGAGATACAGATGGAAAATACATTAGACTATATCTTAACAAATTCAAGAAGCTATATGGCATACCATTTTAAAACATTTTTTAAAAGCAATATATTTTTACATATATTAAATGCTTCAGGTTGAAAAACAAAGAACAAAAGTAGCAGATACAAAACCGTTAGACTATATCTTTACAAATACTGGTAGGACTATTTCAGATGAAGAAATTTCATCCCGAGCATACAGATTTGACAGTTTATAGAAACGTGTTTGACCCTCAAAATGTTATGTGTCATGCAAGTTTCAGTTCAAGCAACAATAGTTTTCTATGTATTGGTAAGGACTTTTATGACTTTGCTTCTAAATTCTACGAACCACCTAGTAACAGTTTCTCTGACTTTCAAGTTTGGTTCACAACAAATGGTGTGCAACATATTATTCCATTGTACTATGACTTTTATCTCGAATTGTCTTTCATATATAACTAGGGAAAAGTGCTGAAAAAGTATTGAAAAATAATGTTTAGGGTAGAAGGTTAGATCTAACCTGTTTTCTAACCTCTTTTCTAACCTCTTGAATTTTCATGAATTTCCTTAAGATAGAAAAAAATAAAACTAACTTTATTTTTTTTAAGTTTGGTCATCCTTCACTGTATGACAAATATACTATATTTTACTTAAAAATATGCAAGCGGCTCATAGCTCAGTGGTATGGGCTACCTCGCTACAGGCGTCGAAGACCTCGGTTCAAATCCCGATTCGCGCAAGTTTTTTCCTTTTATGCAGTGAAATTTCATGTAATAGGTTACTTTGGTGTTAGACCCTAGTGAAGAAAATAGAACGATATAAGTTTACATTTGTAAAGTTGGACGATAAAAATCTCTGCTACTAGCAGTACTGCTACTGTCAGTAAAAGTACTGCTACTGTCAGTAAAAGTACTGCTACTGTCAGTAAAAGTACTGCTACTGTCAGAAAAAAGTACTGCTACTGTCAGTAAAAGTACTGCTACTGTCAGAAAGTACTGCTACGAGCAGTAAAAGTACTGCTACTAGCAGTAAAAAGGAAAATTTGAGAGGGTTTTCGACGATAAAGTACTGCTACTGTCAGTAAAAGTACTGCTACTGTCAGTAAAAGTACTGCTACTGTCAGAAAAAGTACTGCTACTGTCAGTAAAAGTACTGCTACTGTCAGTAGCAGTACTGCTAGGAGCAGAGATTTTTATCGTTGTGGTCCGACGGTTAAGCCACAAACAGATGTCCGACGTCCCACCAACCGAGCCCATTCCCAAACCAGAGGAACCTAAAGCACCAGCCCCTGCACCTCAGTTCCAGCAAGTCCCTCCACCAAATTACTACCAATTTCCACCTCAATCCAAATCGAAGAGAGACCAAGAGTTCGAAGAAGGTCTGAACCGCTTACGCAAAGAGTATGCTACAGCTCCAATTGAGAGAAAGTTGTTGCTAAATTCAGTAAAAATATATTTTAGGTGAAGAGGTGACATCTCACCTCTTTTTTCACCTGTTTTCTCACCTCATGAATTTGTCATGACTTCTTCGTAAACTAAACGTAAACATTTTGTGAAGAATATAGCAACCGTCTGAATTCAGACGGTTGGTTTTTATACAAAATTCATGCGGGAAATTCTTGAGTTTTGGTTGAAAGAATACGGTGGAGCCAAAAGTGGCTCGACCTCAAAACAAACATTTTGTGAAGAATATACCAACCCGCGGGTTGCTTTTTATACAAAATTCATGCAGGAATTCCTGATGAAATCAAACAGGTTAGAGGAATGTATGTAGACCCAAGACTTGTAAACTATATAGCAATGTGGGCTTCTCCAAAATATTGCATAGCAGTTGGAAAAATTCTGGACTCCATAGACAAGAAAGTTCATGAGAAATTAGATGAAGAAGAACTTGAAGATACAGTAGAGAATGCAAAACCTTTGTTCGAAGAAGAAGTTAGAAAAATGCATGAAAAACAAATAGAACATGAACGTGAGATATGTTCTGGTTATAGAGATTGTCCATACGAACTAGACCAATGGGAACAAGAAGATTTAAAGAGAGAATTTAGAGAATATGAACTCGCTAAGATAGCATTTGAAGCTGCAGAAGAGAGGTTAAAAGTTTGGGGTCGTTTTGTACAAAAATATTGTGAGTAAATGAACCATTTTTTTCGACAAAAATATATTTTAGGGTAGATGGGTATATCTAACCTCTTTTCTAACATGTTTTCTAACATCGTAGAAAACTCATGAGTTTTATACAGAATTCAGCAAAAATAATGTTTATGTTAGAATGTTAGATCTAACATGTTTTCTAACATGTTTTCTAACATGGTCTAAAACTCTTGAATTTGTCGAAACTTCTTCGTAAATGTTTTGTCAAGACTTCTTCGTACATGTTTTGTCAAGACTTCTTCGTAAATGTTTTGTCAAGACTTCTTCGTAAATGTTTTGTCAAGACTTCTTCGTAATGAGCGTAAAAGACCCAAAAATAATGTTTATGTTAGAATGTTAGATCTAACATGTTTTCTAACACGTTTTCTAACATCGTAGAAAACTCTCGAAATTCATGAATTTTGACACTTTCACAAAAAACATAAAAAATAAAGTTAGTTTTTTTAAAAAAATATTTTTTTATTTTTATTGTAAGAACATGTTAGCAACAACTTCACCAAACTCTTTAGTCATGAATCCTACGTCAATGTTGGTAGAGATGAAAAGCTTCATTCCTTCTTCATATACTTTTGAAACAAAAATCCAGAAGATAAAGCAAGAACTTTTAACAAGTAATTTAGACTGTAGTGCGAAAGATGAAACAAATGAACAGTATCTTTACGACATGCAGGACCTCATCGACCATTTGCCTAAACTACCTGAAATCCAACAACAAAAACTCACTATTCCAGAATTCGATGAAATAGAAGTCGGACTGACTGACTCAGTAGAAATAAAGAAGTTCATACGAAAGGTAAACTATGAGTTTCTAGGATTTCATTGCAACCATAAGGTTATGGACAAAGATTGCGACATGGTATATAAGAACATCTCTGACCTTTACAAATCCGAAGAATTTAAGACCTACGACAACTTTGTTTCATTAGTTGCAAAATGTGTTTGGGAAATAAGAGATAAAGATAGAAGAGGCAAAGTATGGAACGAACAAATAAGACCCGCTATGTTCGAGATGAAGAAAACCATTGACGCCTTAGTTGTTTTAGCAGGTAAGGTTTCAGAATATAACGCAAAAATGAACCCGCAATGTTCTAAATGTAAGGCAGCAATGAGGAAATATAACTACTCCGTCAAAGAGATAGAAAGAATGAGAAACGACTATGCAGACTTAAAGAAAGAAGTAGAGAAACCAGCAGAAGATAAAATGGACATGTTGACATTTCTGAACAAAAACTATCCAACAGCTGACGATTTCCTTCTTTCAGATGTCAAGAAGAAATATAAAGAAACCTTCGGCATTGTTAAAACATTCGATGTACTGACAGAAGAAATAGAAGCTACAAAATTGTTTAGAGTCATGAACCATCGCAACATATACCATGTAAAACGCTTGTAAATAGTTATGTTAGAAAACGTGTTAGAAAACATGTTAGATCTAACATGCTAACATAAACATTATTTTTACTGAATTCCGTATGAAATTTCATGAGTTTTGTGTGTTTTAGACCATGTTAGAAAACGTGTTAGAAAACATGTTAGATCTAACATTCTAACATAAACATTATTTTTACTGAATTCCGTATGAAATTTCATGAGTTTTGTATGTTTTAGACCATGTTAGAAAACATGTTAGAAAACATGTTAGATCTAACATTCTAACATAAAATATATTTTTGCTGAAAAATGACCAAAAATCTGAGTAAAATGGCATATGCTTGCTTCCCTCGGAAAACTGAGAGAAGAGATTCCGTACGAAAACAGTGAAGAACAGCGAGTAGGTAAGAAACCTTAGTCGCCAAAACTCTATGAAAATCATGAAATTTCTCTAGACCGTTTTTTTTCGGTCTTGCATAAAACTCATGAAAATCAGTGAAGAACAGCGAGTAGGTAAGAAATCCTGGTCGCCAAAACTCTATGAAAATCATGAATTTCCTTAAGATAGAAAAAATAAAGTTAGTTTTTTATAAAATATTTTTTTTATTTTGTATGTAAGAACAGAAATGTCAAACAATGAGTTTGAAACAGTTAGAAAGATAGACAATGACACCAAATTGGTTAGAATAGGTGATTTAAACGTAAGATACTCAAAGAAATACAACAAATATTCTTTGTCAGACATTTTCTCTCCATCTGGAAAGAGACCGAAGGACTGGGTTAGAATTGCTTCTACTCAGAAAATTTTGACAAGAAATCCTGAGCTTATGATATCGGTAAGATTCTATGGAACTACAGCATATCTTATAGACAAAAGTCTTATACCAATAGTTTTGTTATGGTTAGACCCTGTTGTTGGATATAACTTCATAACATATGGTTCATTCGACTCAGAACGTTGCAGTGAAGGCTTACTTTACATCGTTCAGAAACCGAAGGACTTCAATACAAAGAGATATAGATAGGAAGAACATATAATATAACTCAAAGATATGACAGTATAGTCAATAGAGTCAAGGTTGTGTTCGTTAACGATATGAGAGCTGCAGAAACAGAACTACTTGAAAAGTTTGAGAAAATGTATGGTGCTCCCATAAAAGGTAAGGAAACGTTTGAAGTAGATGAGATAAATAAAGCTATAAAATTATTTGACGAAGTTGCTGAAAAATACATGTAAAGCGTTTATTTTTGGTCTTTTGTGAAAGACAGAAAAAATAAAGTTAGTTTTATTTTTATTTATTTTTTTATTTTGTATGTAAGGACAGATATGTCAACAACAGAGAACACAACAACAGTTATAGTCCATGAAGCTATAAATGAAGAATATGAGTACATACAGTTTAACAAACAACTCCGTCTCATTCGTTCAGTCAAAGACGATATGTACCAAATGCAAAGTATTTTGACAGCATGTTTTGCACCAGATACCAAACATACAGACGATTGGTTCAAAAACCAAAGCACACAAGAACTTTTGAGCGAAGCACAGCGAGCCCGACTTTTATCTGGGTCGCCTAAAACTCATGAAAATCGTAAAAATTTGCCAAATGGTTTGAGAGGATATTATGTACATAGACTTCTTGTAAATGCTGTTGCAATGTGGGCTTCACCTCTTCACCTAAAATATATTTTTGCTGAAAAATGACCAAAAATCATGAATTTCCTTAAGATAGAAAAAATAAAGTTAGTTTTATTTTTATTTATTTTTTTATTTTGTATGTAAGGACAGATATGTCAACAACAGAGAACACAACAACAGAGAACACAACAACAGTTATAGTCCATGAAGCTATAAATGAAGAATACGAGTACATACAATATAACAAACAGTTACGTCTCATTCGTTCAGTCAAAGACGATATGTACCAAATGCAAAGTATTTTGAATGCTCTTCGTTCTACAAAGCAAGCATATCATTGGTTTGAAAACCAACAGACAAAAGAACTTTTAGAAGAATTTCCTCATATGTTTGCTACCCTCGGAAAACCGAGGGTAGAGATTCCGTACGAAAATCGCAAGAATTTGGCTCCTGGTTTGAGAGGCTGGTATGTACATAGACTTTTAGTAAATGCCGTAGCAATGTGGGCTTCACCTCGTTATGCTTGTTATATTTTCATGATGTTAGATGAAATTCATAGACAAGAACGTGAAGAGATGGAAAAGAAACTTCAAGCAAAAGATGAAGTCATTGAAGCAAAAGACAAAAGCCTTCAGAAAAGAATACCACGTTCGGTACCAAAAGGAAAGGAAAAGAACTATAAGTATATGATTTATACTGAAGAGATGGAAAATGAAGAAGACAGAGATATGGTTATGTTGCATTTAGTCAGAAGAAACAACAAAAGCTTTTACGACCTTGCTAAGATTTACAAATCTGACAGAAATTGGTTCTATCGCGAAAACTTACCGATTTCAATGACACCAAATGAAGATGTGAAACAAATAGTTCAAGATACGTTACCTCAAACACACTATGATATTAAAGGTTGTACAATACTTACATTCAAAGAAGATTTGCCATTGTTAAAGGAAAAAATAACAGAGTATTTTGACAACTTCAAACAAGTAGAGTAGATGAACTCTTTATTTTTCAAGCTTGACTTCAGATGGCTCAGGTAGCTCTATAAGGTAAATTGCCTCATCTGCTGGGTCTATGTCGGTCATTGTTTCAAGACAAGTCTTTTACTTTTTCAAGACAAGTCTTTTATTGTTTCAAGACAAGTCTTTTACTTTTTCAAGACAAGTCTTTTACTTTTTCAAGACAAGTCTTTTACTTTTTCAAGACAAGTCTTTTACTTTTTCAAGACAAGTCTTTTACTTTTTCAAGACAAGACCCGTTATTTTTCAAGAAATTTTTTGGTGTAAAGTTCTCAAATTTGAGAACAGTGGTCTTGATTTCAGACGATACCCGTACTTTTTCAAGACAAGTCTTTCACTTTTTCAAGACAAGTCTTTTACTTTTTCAAGACAAGTCTTTTACTTTTTCAAGACAAGTCTTTTACTTTTTCAAGACAAGTCTTTTACTTTTTCAAGACAAGTCTTTTATTGTTTCAAGACAAGTCTTTTACTTTTTCAAGACAAGTCTTTTATTGTTTCAAGACAATGTCCGACGTACCACCAACCGAGTCCATTCCAAAGCCAGAAGAACCGACAGCCCCAGCACCACAACAGACTAAGACTAAAACACTTACATTTTTACGCTTGACTTTTTACAATTTGAACTTTGTTTGCGTAGATATGAATTCTGAAAGAAGTATGAGGGTCTTGTATGACTTTGTACTTCTCCCATAGTTCATGTCTGTCAAACTTACCTGCCATGGACTCTTTCATAAGTTCCATGAAATCGTCTTCGGACAATCCAGGGAAAAGTATAATGTCAGTAAGTATTCTTTTAACATCCTTACTTAAACTCTTTGCTGTCTGTACACAAATGACAACTGAGATGTTAAAGTGTCTGAGCTTCTTAAGAATTCGACACATATCTTGTTCTCTATTCTTTAACAAAGGATGAGAGGCGAAATCATCTAAGATAAGAAGACACCTATGAGGGTAAGTCTTCCAATCGTAAGATTGCAATTTCTTCGAAATGTATTCTATCTCTTTCTGTTTGTTTCTGAAGTGTTTCTTCTCTAATATTCTCTGCATTTCCTCATTTGGGTCTTTAAACTTCGAATTTATATACTCATTTATAGCATTGTACTTCAAAACTCTTCTTTGGTACTTCTTTATCCAATCTAACAACTCAGTATCCTTTATACATACTAACTTAGACTTCTTTATAATATCTTTGAACGAATTGACGGTTTGGTCAAATTGACCAGAAGTACTACAAATAACAACTAACTCATAGAATGGGTTCTTCTCATCTAGTTCTTGTTGTTGTGCAGCCATTTTAAGATAAGTGAAAGTCTTACCAGACCCAGGTGGTGCGATTAGACCTGTTATACCATTCTGAGCAAATAAGAACTTGTCATGTATAGGTTTTATCTGAGCATTTTCTAACTTCCTCTTGTTCTTGTTTAAAACATTCTCAAATTTCTTGTCAATGTCAGCAAACTTTTTTTCTAACATATTTTTAGAAAAATTAAAATTTTTATCTTTTAGAAAATGTCTAGCGATTTCGCTATCTATATTCGAGACAAACTTTTTGACAGCAAAACATCTGTCGACCATAAAATCTTACATAGTGTAAACAAGAAAGGTGAATTTGTTCTAAAGTTCTGTTTCTGGGAATATGACAAGAACCATAAAACATTAAGCAGAGAAGTCTTAAAATTTGTCAATGACAGACTTGTTGACAGAGATGACGCCTCTTGGAAAGATGAAGTCCAACAAAAGTTCTTAGAATGCAAAGAAGACACATGCGCTGTTCTTGAAGATGAAATAGAAAACAAAATAGAAGAGCTATTAAAGGACAAAGAACTTTTACAGAAATATGGTTCGGAGAAATTTGACGTCTCACCACCAGAAAAGAAGAAGAAAGGAAAGAAAGAGAAAAAAGTAGAAGAGAAGAAAGAACCTGAACCAGAGCCAGTTCCAGAGAAGGTGAGATATGACATGTAAAAATAAAATTTTATTTTTAGAACATTTCTGGGTCAATGTCAATGTTCTCTTCCTCTTTAGGAGCAAACACTGGCTTAGACTCTAAAATCTTTTTACCCAATTTACCTTGAACTTCTACAACTTTAGACTCATAATATTCATAGTCGTCTGCTTTCTTTGGTTCATAAGGTATAACAAGTTTGTATGCTTTGCCTTCTTTAAGGTTTGAAAACCTTCTGTCAAAACTTTCTTTGACTGCTAACAAACCTTCTATGTCTAAGTCTTCAAATTTCGCACCATTTTTAGTCACAATAGCAAACTTAACTGGTTCGATGTTCCAAACTTTGCTGAATGAAGACTTTCAAAATGGTAGAAGTAAACATTCAAATATGTGAATGGGTCTAGTTCTTCTTTAAGTCCTGACATGTACTTGTTTACTGAAATATATTTCGTCATCTTTTCTATCGGATAAAAAAATATTTTTTTTAAATTTACTCATAAAAATTTTTCTTTGTATATACACCATTCTGAACATCTAAAAGACTTTTGACGTTTGCCAAGAATGTACGTTTAGAAGCTGTCATATAACCATACTCTTGACAATATTGTTTATACGAGTCGTACAATGACCTTTCATCTAAACACTCAAAGTTAGTCTCATCTATGAACAGTTCATATACACTCTTGTTTGCTTCTAACAATGTTTGTCTCTCTTCGGTATGTGGAATTTGTCTTGGATTGAACTTAGAAATATCTAATGTCATAAAATATGAGAACAAGTGGTTGTAAAAGTCAGATGTCAAAGTTTCTGCTAAGTCGTCAAAATATTCTGTATCTTGCATATGAGAATCTGACGTTCTGACAACTACATATCTTCTGTCAGAACTTTCTAACTTCATCGGAACAGCATTGTTTGAAACCATAATGAAATTTGCAACATTTTCACAAACTCTTTGGTCTTTATATTTTCTTTCAACAACTCCAACTTTGTCTGTTATAAGACTCTTCAAAGCATCTGAGTTCAAAACTTTTGTTATCTATACTTTGAAGTTCGTTACATACTATAAGTTTCATATTCTCTATTGAGGAGTTAAATTTACCGCAGATGTTTTCTAAGTTTGTCATATTAGGGTTCGAATAGCCCTCTAACAGTTTGCATAAGATATCTGTAAAGAATGTGTTCTTACCAGTTCCTTGTTTTCCAATTATAATGAGAGCAGTTTCATTTTTAGCACTTGGATGTTGTAAGATGTTTGCAAACCAACATAAGATATACTCATAAACCTTTTCGTTTCCATTGCATATAATTTCTTTGACATGGTCTAACCAAGCTTCTATAACATTTTCTTTCCATTCTACTTGTTCGTATTTATATCCAGTGAAGATAGAATAGAAGTTTGGAGAAGGTGTATAGAACTTTATACACGAACTGAAAAATCTTCTAACTTTGACAATAAGATATCCCAAGCATCTAACATCTTCATGCCAACTTGTACAACTTTTATTTTCTTAAGTTTCTGTCTACATTCTTGTTCTGAAACTATTGTTGCTCTTGGTTTGTTAAAGACAACATCCCATTCTTTCATAACATAACATTCTGGGGCAGAGTCGACATAAATGACTAAACGTTTCAAATTCTCGACTGCTTTGTTATAGTCTCGAAATGGACACATATTTCTGAAGGCTTGGAAGTCATAAAAATCTGAAACATCTATTCTGTACATTTTTATAAAAATAAAAAAAATATTATTTTTTTATTCTTGACTTTGTTGTTCCATTTGTTGCATTTGTTGTTCTTGAGCTATTTGTTGTTGAAGTTGTTCTTGTAATACAATACTTTCACCAGTTGCATCTTCCAATTCGAAACTTTCTGCCGTCATTGACAAATACATAGGACATAGAAGTTTTACAGGAACAAAGTTTGCGTCAACTAATGTCAACGTTATACTTGCCAAAGTGTTTGAGTTCACTAAGGTTGAAAATTCTGCATTCGAATGAACAATAGGCAAACCAGCAGAGAATGTGTTATTTATACGCATAAGTATCTTTTGGTCATAGTAGTTTCTGTCGACATTCGAATAACACTTTGAACCTAAGTTTGAAACAATATATAAAATAGGTGTGCTTAAAGTCAATGGAACAGACATTCCTTGTATGACACCTTTTCCTGTTATAGGAAACTGTTGGTAGTAAAAACCAGATATAAGTTTTGTATTATAGCTCATATTGTTTATAGTAAACTCAGTCGGACATCCAAACATAATGAAACCTGCTCTAGTTGCAGCACATGTTACACTCGTCCTTAAAGTATTAAATAAGTCAACAAAACCTGTTGGTGGTATATCTGAGTAAGTATCTTCAAAGGAGTATTTTTTACCATTCACAACAATAAAATCTTCTGGTGTCAAAAGAGCAAAACAAGCTTTAGTCGTCATTGTGTTTAAAGTTAGTTTACAATATCGTCCTTGAGGACTTTGTAAGTTTGTTGTTATAGAATTATATGACTCAGGGTTTTTAGTCGTAATAGTATAAACCACTATGTCTTCTGCCATTTACTTAGCAAATAAATTTTAATGAAATGTTGTGGTCGTCAAATATTTTTTATGACGTCTGGGAAACTATACTTTAAGTTCAACGTTTCACCTCCTTTCATAACGTATATCTTGTCAATGACATTATATGAAACACCACAGCAAGCAATGTCGGGTTCTATTTCTTTGATGTTTATATCGTCTGCCTCTGTCAAAAGTTTCAATAGTTCTTTCAAAATTTCATGAGGTGCGATGACATATGAGTTCACTTTTACAGGGTTGTGTTCGACCAAGTTTAACATTAGACCTAAAGCTTGACAAATCTTCTCCTGAGTTTTAAGTTTGTCTTTAAGTTGTTGGTAGTCGTTTCGAATATCTGCAACAGAACTTAAGTCTCTGCTAACTTCAGGATATGTTGGTTGTTCTTTTTTACAGGAACAATTGCTATACCATCTTCGTCTTCGTATGGTTTCCCCACTTCAACATCTCTGTCTTTGACAT